GCTCATGCGCGCTGCTGCGCTCAGCCATTGCCCCTACGCCTTGGCCAGCAATGCAGCTGGCATCCCCTCCTGCGCACCAGCTCCTGCTGCGTCATGCCAACCAGCTGCTGCCCCCTCACCTGCTACCCAGAGCGGCGATGGGTGGACGTGCGAGCTGGAGGGCCAGAAGATCCGTCACAACTTCAAAGGCGCCTACCTGCATGCAATGGGGCAGCCAGCTGATGGGAAGACGCTGCAGCTGTCAGAGGCGGTGGAGCTTGTTACCGGCCTGCCCCTGAAAGAGGTGTATGACTGGCTGTCTGATCACCAGCTCAACCAGGCCGCACCTGTGGATCTGCGCCGAGTGAAGCCCGACTCGGCGCTGCTGGAAGAGGTGTTCCTCGGCACGCGTCCTGTGCAAGGGCTTGCTGATGCTGAGGTGCGGGCTCTACACTATGCAGTTCCAGGTGCGCCTCCTTGTCCAGGGCTGTGGGGGCCGGAGGACAACAAGCTGTACCAGTGTCTCTTACTCTCCCCGCCATGCCCCAGCCCAAACATACCGCCACTTTCCATACCTGGATGCAGCCCTCGACGTTGCTGGGCAGCCCGGTGCTGGTGTGTCAACGGCAACGGCTGATGATGTTGGCACCATCCGGAGCGGCCTGCAGAAGAAAGCGGCGGGCAAGTGGACGCTCAAGTATGTCTGCTCCCATGCATCCAAGTGCAGCTGCCCGTACACGCTGGAGTTGCGGCATCCGGCTGGCAGCGAGGTGGTGAGCGTGTGGCAAACAGCGCCCCACCAGTTCCATGACCCCACCAGCGCCGACAGCCAGGCCCAGCTCCGCATGCACCCCCGCCTGGAGGCGATGGCCACCGTGATGATCGAGAGTGGCGCCACGCCCACGTCCATCTGCACACGGCTGAACAACATGGTGCATGATCCGGCCGACCCGCTGGGCCTCGGGGGCGGGACTACTGGGCTGCAGCACTTCAGCAGCGCCCGTGTTAGCATCATCCCGCGGCAGATCTATGTGCTGATAAAGAAGCTGCGGCGTGCTGAAGGCTTGGGCCTCACCAGCGACGTGCAGGCGATGGCGGTTCTGATTGATGAGCTGAGAAGGGAGGGCTCTGTGTTGTTCTACCAGCCCTACAAACAGGCTGGCAGGCGCAGCGGGGAGCAGCCGCTGGTGATTGTGATGCAAGTGTCCTTCCAGGCGCGCATGCTGGACCAGTTTGGGCGGCGGCTGGTGTTCATGGACGCCACGTTTGGCGTCAACAAATACGGCTACCCACTCTACGCGTTGGTGGTGAGCCTGCAGCCTAGCAGCCTAGCAGCCAGGCTGGGTTGAGTATGCAGCCACACCGGCGCGCACCAGGGCTGTAGCACCCTCACCTGATCCTGGTACTTGCAGGTGCAAGATGAGAGCGGGCACGGGGTGCCGGTCAGCTTCATGGTGTGCAGCTCGGATACGGCGGAGGTGGTGGAGCACTTCCTGCGCACATCGATGGAAGGGGTGAGTGCCAGAGGATAGAGAGATGCGCTGGGCAGGCACCAGTCCGCTGCCAGCCCCGCTGCCTGCCCTGCTGCTGCCTCATGCTGTCACCCCCGCCTCCCAAACCACCAATGAGCAGGCACAGGCGGCAGGGGATGGCACCTTCAAGTACAAGTCTATCATGATCGACAAGTCGAAGACGGAGATTGCAGCGGTGGACCAGCTGGTGTCCACCGGGCATGCCGAAGGATACCTGCTCTGCTACTTCCACTTCCTGCAAGATTGGGAACGCTTCCTCAGCAGCGGCGACGCGGGTGTGCCTAAGGCTGAGCGGCACCGCATCATGCTGGCGCTGGCTCGCCTAGCCCACATGCAAGACCAAGCGCCGTTCAAACAAGAGGTGGGCAGCAACGCAGCGCATGGCCAGCAATCTACAACTGCTCACCCACGCACTACTTGCATGCGCCACTGCCCTGCGCCCTGCAGCTGGCCTTCTTCATCTTGAGCAACAGCCAGCAGCACCTCCCGGTGGCGCAGCGCATGCACAGCAGCTGGGTTCCGTGCGCCGAGAAGTGGGCGTGGTGGGGGCGGCTGGACGTGCTGGACCTGCAGTGCAACACAAACAACCTCGGGGAGCGCAATTTTGGCCTCATCAAGTACACCGACCTGGAGCGCAGGGCGCAGCTGACGCTGCACGAGCTGCTGCTGGCGCTGCTGACAAAGACAGTGCCCCGCAACATCCAGAACCGCGCCCACATGCTGGCGGGGCGGGTGACCAGCGACCAGCAGCAGCGCGAGCAAAGGGCAGCACTGTGGGTGCAAAAGCTGGTGGAACGCGGTGCGGTGGTGCCAGCAGCGGATAGCAGCACCCCAGGGCTCACGCTGGTGCAGCAAGGAGAAGATGCGCCGCCCGTGCACTCGTGTGTGGGCGATCTC